AGGGATTTCTATAGTGTACTCATTCATGAAAATAAACTGGTGAAAGAGAAAGACTTTCACAAAGAATGTTTCCCTCTGACATAATCTCTTGTAAAACAGAAAATCACTTTATATAAAAGTTCAATTAGGACCAAATACAGTATAAATGGCCTCTGTAGCAACTAGATTTTTAAATACAGAGAAGCTGAATATTACACTATTTTCTACCGACTTTCCTGGTTCCATGCCAAACACGCCTTGGCTGCAACAGAAGAACGAGGAGGCTTTTAGATTTTGGGGAGAAAAGTAAATATGGCGGGGGCTTTTCTAGAAGGGTATAGTTGCAATCTGGCACTTTGCAGAAATTCTGGAAAATGAATGAAGTTCTTTTATAAATATAGCTCTATATGTAGGATCTGGGACCTTTATAATAAATATATTCCTATAAAAACCCAAGCCCTGCCAATGTGACCTACTATTTATTTAGCAGCAACTGTGAACCATATGGTTTTGTTCAAAGTTGCAAGGTTGAAGAATAGATTTTTTGCCCAGGAAAAAAATCTATTTTGAAGGTAAAGAGGGAAAAAGATAAGCTTTTTTACTTAAACAGAAGGAAAAAAACCAATCTATTTCAAAAACTTTTCAACCCACGAAACATGAATGAAGAAAGAATACTAAATGTAAGAAAATTAGTAAGCTGCCATATTAGTCTGAGAAGCCCAACAGGTGCTTGCTGCTACGCAAGAATTATAGAAATAGTGGGCGCCTGGGTGGCTCAGTGGGTTAAGCTGCTGCCTTCGGCTCAGGTCATGATCTCAGGGTCCTGGGATCGAGTCCCGCATCGGGCTCTCTGCTCAGCAGGGAGCCTGCTTCCCTCTCTCTCTCTCTGCCTGCCTCTCTGTCTACTTGTGATCTCTCTCTGTCAAACCAATAAATAAAATCTTTAAAAAAAAAAAATAGTAACAGTAAAATCTTTATATATTATAGAAGCCCAAACAAACAAACAAACAACTACAAACAGAGATTTCATTTTAACTTTAAGAATCTGGTATGGCAGTTGCTTTTCTCAAAAGGACTGAAACAGTTTTGACCCCAGCTGCTACTGATTTTATCTAACAATAGACTGTTTAAAGACGTCTCACTTCTGGTGAAGCTATTCATTTCAACCTAGACTGCATCTAGCTTAAGCTTCAGAAGACAACTTTATCACCTCCAAGCCCTATGCAGACTAAACACAACACTTGTGCCCCATTCTGAATGGTATCTTATATCCAAATGCTCCCTTAATTATAGCTCCTGCTTCTCAAGCTGCTCTTTCAACTTGTCAGAAGCTGCCTAAAGTAACTAAAATTGGATTCACGCAGAAAAAATGTATTTTAGGAAAACATGTGCAACAAGCACCTACGCATCTGTTAACATTAAAACCAGAAGGCAGCTGTAAAATTTAACAATTCACAACATCCATTCTGAAATCTTATGGCAGTCCGTTATTTATTTATTTATTTTTGAATATTTTATTTATTTATTTGACAGAGAGAGAGAGAGAAAGAGATCACAAGTAGGCAGAGAGGCAGGCAGAGAGGGAGGGGGGAAGCAGGCTCCCTGCTGAGCAGAGAGACCGATTTAGGGCTCGATTTAGGGCTCGATTCAGGGCTCAATCCCAGGATCCCGAGATTATAACCTGAGCCAAAGGCAGAGGCTGAAGCCACTGAGCCACCCAGGGCCCCTCTGGCAGTCTTTTAAAGCGTATCACAATGGCACGATCATTTCATCTGTTTGACAAGTCTTTACTGTCTGTAAGCCCTATGCTGGGTGCAGAGGATACAGTGATTAGCAAAATAGACACATTGGTTTCTAAGGCTGAAAAGCAAAGAGAAAATAAGGTTGGCCTGGTTTTTCCATTCGAGGCAGCCATCCCCCCACCATCCCACCTCAATTGTGAAGGGGTTGAGGCCCACAAGTTTTTGTAAGTCAACTGTAATATTTATATGGGGAACTGCCTTCCGGAGCCCCAGTGCCAACAGGGGTAGATCTTCAGCTGAGTGTCTTTAACACATGTTGCCAAACTACTGGAGTTTTCTAAAATCTGATTGCTATTTATAATAATAATGCTCCTAGAAAATGCTTTCTGGGTTTTACAAGGAGTCATTGGTATGAGCCAAGCACTTCCCAGTGCAGCTTAGGCAGAGAACTCTTCAGGTTCTAAGCTGGCAACACCTATGGGCAGGAGAGCCAGGTTCTCAGATGAGAATCAAGAGAAGAAATGAGAAAACAACAGGCAATACAAATGAGAATTAGGAACGAGCTCACACTTCCCCCAATCCTTTTCTCTCTTTTCTTCATTGAGCAGAAAAATACGGGATAAGAAATGGGAGGGTGTCCTGGGTTTAATCAGTTTACGACTACTGGTAACAATGGGATGGGGTTATGAGAAACAGAATAGTTTCCAGGGATGTACAGGGAAAGGAAGAAAATTCACTAATAGTGACAAAAGGGGGAGGCCTGTGGAAGTGGCAGAAATGAGTCACCAGCCAGAGTGAACATTTATATGCAACGTACGTTGGCAGGGGAGTCATTAAAAAACTAGGCACCGCTGAGGGCACACCAGAGTCATCCATCCATAATATTAGCAACCACTGACTGTTCCTTGGATATGGGGAACATGGTATGCACTGAAAGAATCTACATAAAGGGTAAAAAATGGCTCCCATGCTGTTGCAGGATCTGCAATGCCTGGCAAATTACAATATTACACACAAATACTAGTTATTAATCATTTATTCTTATTACAGAAAAGGAAGCTGTGCTCCAGACAGACTGAATGATGTGACCAAAGTCATACAGTTCTAATTAGCAGTATGGGAGGCAAAGACGCAGGCAATGAACTTTAACATATGTGACTAGGCATGTGTCAAAGCCATAAACATGTGATTCCCAGGGAGCCACGCAAACCCAAGACTGAAGCAAGCAGGGAAAGGAAGAACAGAAAACAGACTCCATCCCTACCTCCACCCCCCACATATCAGAAGGGAACTGCCTCATGCACTCTGGAGAACGAAACCACTGGATATTACTTATCACATATGACAAAGCTACCAGGGAAAACAAAACAAAACAAAAAAACCAATAGTTTTCAGTGATAAACTACCCTGAGGCATACTCATTAGACAGAAATGTCAGTCTTTTTCAGTCATTCTTGAAAAACACATTAGCATGTCACTTTAAGAGCACATAGAAATAATAGGTTTAGATTTAATTTTATCACAATTATAATTTTAGAGTAATCAAAGAAAAGACTACCCAGATATGACCAAACAAACAAAACATTTACTCTGTATCAGCGCATGAAGGGAAAAAGGCTTTTTGTATGAACTCTTTTGAGTGGTTATTATTGGCTACTTAGGAAATCACTGATTCTCTAAGCTTCCTTGAAATTATCTAGAAAATTATCTTTGCTGCTGTAAAAAAATTCTTCATGGGGCGCCTGGGGGGCTCAGGGGGTTAAGCCTCTGCCTTCGGCTCAGGTCTTGGTCTCAGGGTCCTGGGATGCATCAGGCTCTCTGCTCACTGGGGAGCCTGCTTCCCCCCACCCCCTGCCCACCGCCCTGCCTGCCTTTCTGTCTACTTGTGATCTCTGTCTGTCAAATAAATAAATAAGATCTTTAAAAAAAAATCTTCAACAATGGAGCCTCATATGAACACACATGAAATAAATATTAACGCAATATTTTAAAAAGCAGATAATTTTGAAAACAAAACAAAACAAAAAAACCCAAAATACTTCATAAACTTTTTACCAGTGAGTTTTAAGATGTATACGGATATAACCTCTAATTAAAATTTGAGACTATAAACCTCTTCTTAGATCCTTAGTCTTCGGTGAGCGCTCTGCAGGGGCTACTCTCTCCAGCATGCTCAAGTCTCTCTTCTTTGGCCATTTCTCCTCCCTCTCTTCCTCCTGCTGCTCACACAGATACCTTTACTGTCTTTTCTTTGCATCTGCAAATCTGATCTCAGAACAGATTGGGAAACATCCTCACAACGGTGTAAAGGGTTCATGAAACTTGATAGGAGGTATACCCCCTTATATTTATTAAATTAGACTTTATTTTTTTAGAGCAGTTTTATTATTCATCTTATTTTTACTTTTTTTTTTTTTTTAAAGATTTTGTTTATTTATTTGACAGAGATCACAAGTAGGCAGAGAGGCAGGCAGAGAGAGAGAGGGGGAAGCAAACTCCCCACTGAGCAGAGAGCCTGATGCAGGGCTTGATCCCAGGACGCTGAGGTCATGACCTGAGCCGAAGGCAGAGGTTCAACCCAATGAGCCACCCAAGCGCCCCTTACTTATTATTAAGTAGGTTCCAAGCCCAGTATGGAGCCCAATGCGGGGCTTGAACTCATGACCCTGAGATCAAGATCTGAGCTGAGATCCAGAGTCGGATGCTTGACTGACTGAGCCACCCAGGCACCCCTATTAGAGCAGTTTTAGGCTCACAGAAAAACTGAGTGGAAAGCAGAGTTTCCACATATGTCATACCTGCCTCCCCCCTCCCCCTTATGTCTTAACAGATATCAAATACTAAAACAACAGTAAGAATCCTTTATCTGGGGTCTAGGGAATCCAGAGATGGTCTTCATGGAGTCCTTGATCGCCCAGATATTATAACCTGAATTTTGGTATATGGACATATATACATTTTTTAGGAAGCAAGTCTCATTGCGTTCTGAAGCAGCTGGCATTCAAAAATGGTTAAGGCCTCTAAGCCAAAGAATGAAGTTCAAGGTCCAGACATGAGGTAGAGAGACTAAAGAACTATTTTGGGGTCAGAAAGGCTTTACCAGCATCCTTAAAAGCACACCACACAGGTAGCTGCCAGAGCAAGTATCAGTATGTATAACCAGACCTTGAACTTCAACAGGGGCTACAGAAATAGGTTAAAACAGGTTAAAGAAATTTCAACCCATGAAATGACTTTCAAAACATACGATGACCTCTTTTTTTTTTTGGTTTAACACACCTTTAAAGCCTCTATCACGAGGTCCCTTGCTTCAAGCTCTCCTTCAAGAATACTGAATAGCGTTAGGAGTTCAGGCTTGCTGAGTTTTTCCAGATTCATCCTGAAAGCCTAAAACAAAAACAACGATCAGACAATCTCCAGAAGACAGAGTGAGTTTGATATTACTAAAGAAAAAAATAAAGTGAGTCAGACAAGAAAAGAACAATAATTACAGTAAAAAATGGTTTAAGATGGCAAACAGTACAATTAAGTAGAAGAAATAAGAGCCTCTGATGTTAATCATAAACTGAGCAGTAAGGGAAAATAAAATTCACCTTAATTATGGATTTCATCACTATTCACAAAGATCAATTTTTCATCATTTTTCCTCCAGGCATATTTACGAACATCCTGGGAGGTCTCAGAAAGAGTTAGTCATGAGTTTTGTTACTAGAAGCACAGGTAAAATTCTGTTACCATGAACACTATTTCACCAGAAAATCACGAGATCATGAAAAGACTTCCCAGTTTTAGAGAACCAAATTCCTAAACTGTTTATAAAACATTCTGGCATCCCTCTGAAGTTGGATGAAACAAAACTTGGGCAAAGACAATGGCTGGTGGCAGTATGGGAGACAATTCTTTTTAAACCATCTGCTTTCACGTGATAGGTGTTCTCTCTGAAATAGAGTTTAAAAGGAAAAACACCTACCATGGTATTTATATTTCATATAGTAAAATAAGACTTCAATGCAACCATCATACAAATATACTTTCAAATAATTTCTTAAAATATACCCTCCTTATTAAACATCTTAACTGGACAGATTACTTCAAACTGAATTTATCTGACTCAGCAAGTTCACGTTTCCAAGAAGTCTTGTATCTTCTGAAATACGTTAAATGGCAAACTGCATACCACAGACTCAATCCTTTCTATAAGATTAATTTCTCAAAAATCACAAAGAGACAGAAGTTAGACTGCTACACAATTTTCCAAGGGTCTTCTGACCAGTGGGTATGGTGAGATACATTTTGTAACTTCCGAGGCTGAGCAAATACTACTTTCCTTTTCCCTCTTTTTACTTCCAAATTGTCACTCTCGTATAGTTTCCTTTAAAGTGAATTACAACATGACTAGTTCACACACCCTCCAGTAATTCCCAACTCTTACGAGCACATGAAATTTTAGGAGGCAGACAAAAGAGTCATTGATTCCTTCCAGAGCTACCGCCTCTCAGTGAGGGAGAGCATGTAGGGAAGGCCTACTTCACTGTTGTTAGATTGTGTTCCAAGACATGCCGTACGAATCTTTTGCCACGTGGCAAAATATGTTCCATCTAACTTCAGTTTTAACTGTTAACTTTCTAACTACCGAGTGTTAGCAGCTGGTTAAGTGGTCCTCACTTTGAGATTAGAGAAGACCTCTCACATCAGGTATTTTAAACATAACTAAAAAAACAAACACACAACCACATAAACCTAATAAAGCCACACACTTAATTTAAGATGGGATGCTGGAAAGAGCGTCTGGCTTTGCAGTCAGATAGATGCCAGGTCTGTATAACCTTAGCTGTGTGATTTGGGGCAAGTGTTCTGATTCTCGGTTTTCTTATCTGTGAAAGGGGGATGATGATATCAAACTCATAGGATTGCTGGGAAGACCGGGTTAATAAATGTAAAACATCTCGCCAAATTCCCGATACAAGCTGAACAATGGTCTAATTATTAATAACTAGTATCCTCTTTCATTTTCCACAAGAATTCTAAGAAAGGCATTATAAAAATTGGGGGCAGCCAAGATCAATGACCTCAGAAATACCTTCAAGCTGCCCTTTTGTGGTTTGGAAACACAAGTGGAGAGGGGTGATAGCATCCTGGAGTGAAGAACAGTGAGGAATTTAAGCCACCAGTTGAGTCACACTGGTTTCGTGGATGAAACCCTTCCCCCTCTTCCTGACGGTTTCATGGTTCAATCTCGCAGAGATTAAAAAGCAGAGGAAAAATCCTATCATTTTATGCCCATTCCCTTCCCTCCCATGATGTTAAGCAGAATAATAGGCACTTGGACAAGTACTCTGTAAACACCAGCTACCCTGAGGAAATGAACAGGTTGCAGAAACACCAAAATAACAATGGCAGTGTTCACACGTATTCTCCTTTTTTTCCTTCAGTATCTTTGTAGTCCTTCAAAACTCTTATTTAGAGATCTAAAACTGGGGCTGAAGGAAGCAGTGCCCGGTGAGGAAAGCTTAACAGACCGGGAGCGAGGTGTGCAGAATTTCAGTCTGGGCTCTGCCACTGAGCAGCTCTATGGCTGTGGGGACAAAAGTTACCCAGTTGCTCTGGCTCGGAGTTTCCTCACAGGTAAATCAGACAGACTAGATCATCTCTAAAGTCCTTCTGGTTTCCATTCCAAACTTTCATGGGTAAAAATCCAGAACTAATTGTTAGAGAATCCAGTGAAATAAGAATAAAGTGAATATACAATAAACTAAAACAGACAGTACCTAGATCAAAGTCTTGGCTCTGTTGTGATAAATATACGTCCTCATAAAAGAGGAAAATTGAAACAATCTTCAGAGTCACTTAACTATTCAGCCTAGGCAAGAAAAAATTCCAATCTTTGTCAATGGCATAAAGCACTATAATCTTGTTATGTGCATTTGTAAATCACTTCGCCATACAAATCTTAGTATCTGGAACAATCTGCTAATATGTACTCACTCGTCCAGCTGAGTGTCTACGTAAGGTAAATACAATACAAATATGACACAGGAGGAAGAAAGGGGTCACAGCTCTGTAACTGAAAAACCAATAGGTCTGTTTTCATGTACTCTTATAACCTTTCTTTGGAAATACTAAAATTCAGCAGTTCTTTGCTGTTCTTTATATTTGAATCCAATCTTAAATTTGCAATAAATTTAATATAAATGAAAGACCATAAAACCACATCATGTTTTAGGGGAATAGCGATATTCCTGGGAGTGGGGGTAAAGGTGAGGGGTGGGGATGATACTGACCTGATAAGTGGCAGTCACACTTTCCGCCTGGAGGATAAATTCTTAAGGTCTTCTTCAGTTAAAATTTGGGAAAATCAGCAAAATATTTAAAATACCATCAGCATGGTGGAAGAGTGTCCGATGCTGCAAAATAATAAGAAATTTATTTCTATGTTACTATACCATAAATGATTGGATAAACCCCATGAATGTCAACTATTATTACAACTAATAAGGCCTGAGAGGTGTGGGTTGACACAGACAAGAAAGAAAACAGCCACTTCTTCAAGTCGAAGCTGAGTAATAAAACAAAAATACCATGCATCTGACTTCCTTTTTGCAATTACAGTTAGGGAAGGTGAGGGCTTTCAAAACCTTTTTACTTTAAGATGTGCACTGCCATTTCAAGGACTAACTTATGAATGCCCTAGAAGAGAAATGACTTTGTCTCCCTGAATTGACAAAAGCCTATTTGCTTAAATCACCATGACTGATGCACAATACACTCGGATGGAAAGATTACATAATTACAACCGAACTTTTCAAACTGCTAAATTTTGTAAGGTACGCCTTTATACCCTCACCTTCTGCCAGGCAATGAACAGACAAATCAACCTGTCACCATCTGGACTTTGTCTGTAAGGCTAATTCCTCATCCTAGCTCCTACTTTTCCCCATTTTTTCCCAAACATTAAGTGTTGAATTACATGCAAATTCTGTGTTTATATTTTCCTAACAGTATATCAGACCCTGCAAACTTTTAAAAAAATGATAAGACTTTAAATTTTATGAGGAAACACAACTTTTGTCCTGTACTTTAAGGCACCAACTCTTAAACTTGACTCCCATTCTTGCCTAATATATAAGTGATGTGGCCCAAGATATTTGGAAAAAGGCTGTTGCTAATTCCATATTAATTGTCAGAAGTAAGAGTGCCAGATTTCTGGCGCGTCGTCATCTACAGACTCATTCTCCACTTGCTTTCTGAATGAGCTGTTACTTGTCACTGTCATGATCCATTAAGTAACACTGAAAGACAAGATCATTTCAACCAGATGCTCAGTTCATTCTTTCCATTTGAAAGTCTCCAAGACACAACTTTCCTTAGAGTTTAGAGGCAGATATGTCTGTTCAAGGCATGCCACAGTCTATAAATCTGAAATAAAAACCACTCGTAGACAAGTTGTCTGAATACATTATTACACACTGTGGCACAGCTAACTGTAGCTATAGTAAGCTTTATAGTTTTCTCAATTAAAAAATAAATGTATATAAGAAAAGAGACAGGGCGTCTGGGTGGCTCAGTGGGTTAAGCCTCTGCCTTCAGCTCAGGTCATGATCTCAGAATCCTGGGGTTGAGTCCCGCACTGGGCTCTCTGCTCAGCAGGGAGGGAGCATGCTTCCCTTCCTCTTTCTCTGCCTGCCTCTCTGCCTAATTGTGATCTTGCTCTGTGTCAAATAAATAAAATCTTAAAAAAAAAAAAAAAAAGATAAATTATACATATTTTGCTACCTGGGGAAAAAGAAACCTATTTATGGGATAGGTATGAAACTTATTTTTAGGTTATCAATAAATAATTTTAAACACCAGTTTGCCCAGCACACCATTTGGTCTATTCACAGGCTACTTTCCATCAAGCCAGGACCAACAGTCAGGAGTGTGTGAGTCTTTGACACAAACTTTTATGTGCCAACAGTCACAAGAATGGAGGCTACCAAGAAGGATGCCCTCACCCCTCCCCGACCCTCCTCAGTGGCAGTGCTGATTTTGCCATGGAGGTGTGTTGCTGTGGCTTGGGTTCTGTTCATTTTATTCTGACATTTTCCCTTCTCTGGATAATACCCAAGCTCCATTCGTTCTGGTTCTGGGTGATCCTTTTCGTTCTTGACGAAGCCCCAGGTTTTGCTCTAGAAATCTGAATTAATTCTACAGGAGAGCAGGAGTTGCTGCCTTTTTTTAATCACAGAGACACTGGTTGGCAGAAAAAGAAACACCCTAGGTTTCTATAGCTATGTAAGCAGGAGGGCAGGGCAGGGTGGAGTGCAAGTACATGTTTGTATATCTAGTATCTGGGTGTGTGTATGTCTTTATGTGGAACAGTAGGCTTGACTTCTAAATAGTGGGTAGTATGGGGCATGAAAGAGGGAAAGCACATTTTTGGTAAGTCTTAGGTACTTCTGGACATAGAAACACCTTAAAAAAATCTACACAGATCTGGGTTTTTTTTTTTTTCTTTTCTTTTTTAAGTCAACTTGGCTAGTATAAAAAACAAATCAGTTGTTTTGCCCAGAAAATCACACTTGCAAACTGCATAAAAATCACTTCTTTAATATAAACTGAGACATCAAATTTAAAAAAACTTATACTTGGGCTGCAACTGACTGGGATTCAGGCCATTTAGTAAGTTTTTAGTATTAGCAATAAGACAGAAAGCAAATTTGCTCCCACTATGTGAGGATTTTCACATACATATCAGCTAAGGCAACATATAGGAGGCCAATTAATTCTTAAAATTCAGAGTCAACACTGACATACAAAATGGGTGTTTTTGAGAGCTTTCCACTAGATAATGTACTTTCTTAAAAATCCAGAATATATGAAACTTAAAAAATAAAATAAACATGTCATATTTATAAATACTAAATCTAAATATGGACAAAAATGCACTGCTATTTTTAAAAATGTATCCAAAGCAACCTACTATCTGGGGGTGGAAGGCGTTGACACATTACCTTGACTATCTCAAAAAGATTTGTTTCCCCACCCTCTGGCACTTCTAGTTTTTCGGAAGGGTTATTTATGCATTTGGGGGTAAGAGAGTGACACTATTCCAAACTGTATTTCTCATTCTGGTTTTGGCATTTTAGGATTAGTCTAGGGAAGAAAAACATGTCAAAATACTATCAGAAAATAATTTTCTGACCAAGAAAGCAGATCTTTTGTATGTTTACTAAAGAGAGTTGTTTTTGCTATTATTTACAAAGGTTCTAAAACCAAGGTATAAAAACAAATATCATTTTATTGAATTCTGCAATACTAAGCAATATAAGCTTTACTACAAATGTCAAATCAATCTTTCAGTTGAAGATAAAAGATATTACTGGACTATTTGGATCCTTATATGTCTACGTGTTATAATAAGTGTTTGGACTAGGGGTGTCTGGGTGCCTCAGTTAGTTAAGTTCCAACTCTTGATTTCCACGCAAGTCATGATCTCAGGGTTGTGAGATCAAGCCCTGCATTGGGCTCCACGCAGAGTGTGAGCCTGCTTAAGATTCTCCCTTTCCCTCAGCTCCCACCCCCTGCTCGTTCTCTCTCAGGAAAAAAAACAACAACAAAAAAACCACAAAACTGTTTGGGCTAAATTGGATGCCTGCCCCCATTCATATATTCAAGTCTTGATTCCCAACACCTCAGAATATAATGCATTTGGAGACAGGGTCTTTAAAGAGGGAATTAAGTTAAAATGCGGTTATTAGGGTAGGCCCTAATCTACTATGGCTGGTAGCCTTGTAAGAGGGGAAACCTGGATACAAACAAGGGACAGGGAAAGACCATGTGAAGACACAGGGGGAAGAGGGTCATCTACGAGTATAAGAGAGAGGCCTCAGAAGAAACCAATCCTGCTGACACATTTCCAATTTCTAGCCTACAGGATTTCGAGAAAATAAATTTCTGTTGTTCAAGCCATCCGGTCTGCGTTGTTATGGCAGTCTAAGCAAATGAATACAACATGTTAACCATTTACTACTTTACAGACTCTTAGAGCAACTAGATCTGAGCCTTCCCATTACCAGGAGAGAGAGTGCTATACACTTCTCAGAATGCCTTGCTTTGTCTTATTGCTATCAGTTTGTTTTCTCAAGCCACACTATAGATAGTATTATATAAAACAAAATGGTCTCAAAACAGTTTTGAAGATTATAAATTTCACGACCCTGAAATGAATACACTTAGAAAGAAATTGCAACAGTGCTAAGGGATCGAGATGATTGTGCATCGATAGTCAATACAGAAGTAGGCCTCAAGAAACCAGTTCTGTAATGAAGCTAATTAACGTCGACATTTAAAATACTTTCAGTACTCTATTCAAACATACTCTATTCACAGCAGATTCTAGGATGCCAAATTTTCTGGATTTATGTTTAGTGCAGAAATGAATAATGATATAATTGAGCCTATCAATGTTAATCACCACCACCTCAGAGTTTTATAGCAGAGTTTTCCAAGAAGAATTCAAGCAGGAATAGTTATAACAAAAAAGACATTAATCGAGCTAAATAAAAACAAAACAAAAAAGATAAACATTAATGTGTTCCAGGCAGTGTTCCAAGTACATGCCATGAATTAATTCAATCCCCACAACAACCTTAGATGACAGATGCTACAACCACCATCACATCCCCATCTTACAGACTAGAAAAGTGAGGTACAGAGGCTAAATAACTTGCTTGAAGTCTCCGATACAGTATGCGGCAGAAATGGGATTTGAGCCTAAGTAATTTGATTCCAGTGGCTTCCTTAACAACCACTGCAACTTGGTAACCATTGTTCACATCTGATCTTCTCATTTTACCAGCTTTATGAACTGTATGGTAGAAAAACCTCTCTAAAACGTGATCCACAAATCTGGAAGGGACCTCAGCAATAATCTCATTTGGCACTCTTCATTTTACAGATGAAAACTGAGGCCAGGGTTGTTCAGTGAATTCCTGAAGATTACAGTTAAATAGTAAAACTAGTTCTAACACCTATGTTTATAGAAAACATAGATCCAGTCTAATCCACCTTCTGGGACACCATGATGGATATGAGATTTTTGTTTTGTTTCACTCTGTTTGAAGACTCCTGCATCTCTGGTCTATCTCTTTCTATGTGTGAATATCCATCTCCTCTCACTATGTGTGTATGTGTGTATGTCTGTTTCTCTCATTGTTTCTCTTATTTGTTGCCAATAAGATTTACAGGAGTATTGAGGAAAACAAGGAAGTGGCCTCATGCCCATAAACAAATATTCAAACATCTCTCCCCCAAAATGAGGACATTTAGCACAACGCTATTAAAAACAGGTCTGTCTACCTGGATATCTGTTTACAGCCTTTCAAGTATTCTCATCTGAGACAAGACCAAACCAGAAGAACTACATTAGTT